GTAGATAGGTACTGCAGTTGTACACATATATTACCACATATGTACCTACATTTTAATACCTGTACAACAAGTCATAGGCGGTATATACCTAGCGCAATTATTATGGTATACGGTGGTCGATGATGGTATCGGTTTTTCGATGTATATTATTATTATGATCTCATATTATAAATGTCTATGAAATATGCTTAACTACATAATATTATAGTCGAGACGAGTGCATACCGTCCGCACAGATAAAATTACTTTAGGTATATATAGAATAGTATACATTTATTACGAATTCTATTATAATGAGTACCGTCCGTGTTAAAACAACCTATCAATTATTATAATTTTAAAACTAACTTCATTATACTCATTAAAACAGATGATAAATATAGAGGCAGGAAGGAAGTATACTAAAAAGAGTAACAGTTAGTCATCACTCAAAGAGGTATACCTATGGTAACTTATTTAATAAAATTGTGTCGGTCACCTGACTCTGCATAGTAATAATTATGTTATGTAGGTACATACTAAGTGTATTAATTAAATACTTTTTTTTTAAATTATTATTCTACGGTTATACTTATGATTCATATTATGATTATTTTTCGTATAGTCTTTAATCTCAAGCAACAGTCTTATGTTTCTTATTTTCTCGCCTAAACAACGCGCGAATGGAGTTAAACGCACGTGCTTATTAGGTTACAGTTTATCAATAAGTTACGTGTAATTTTTAAAGATAATTATTAGGTAGTTTATTTTTGATAGTACATTATGAGATATCATGAATAATAACTTAGTATAGAGGAACACTTGAGTCATATTTCTAGAGAAAAAAAAAAACGTTTTCTCTTAAATATATTTGTTCGAACACATTCACATTCTCTGGGTGAAAATTGAATGTTACATATTTTATTCATTTGAATGCTGCACGAGTTGGCTGTTAGGTGTGTGTACACAAGACTTATAATTATTCTATAATCGTATTAGGTACCTAAGTACCTTTCTATGTACATAATAATATATGAATCACTGTCAATTGCATTTTTTATAATCCCATAAATACTATCATTTCGTATTATATTATTTAGTACTTTGCTTAATGTTTCCCAAGTATATAAGAATAATATGATCAATACTATTTTATATTTTTATATTATAAAATGGTTTTCGATACCTAATTACGATTTTCTCGTTTCGAGCTTAAGTCAATATACAATAATTGCATAAGATCGACAAAAAGTAAAATACATTAACAATTACATTTTGCCGACACCACAAACTCGAAGAACGACATTATCATTTATTTATGCTTACTTTTTGCTCCACAGAGTCGTCAACTTCGTGTACGCGTGGTACACGAACATATGGGTTGGTCAAAGATTCATATACTAACTCACTCCGCTCGTATCGTGTTTTATTTAATACAGAAAATTGTGTAATCAGACATCATTGGACTGGATCCGAATAAATTATGTTCTTGTCATTTACAATTAATAAAATTAAACATGTTTCATTCGTCGTGCAATTAATAAGGTACGTCCACCGCTGCTCAAGGTTGATTTGCACCGCAAATCGCTCAAAACGCAGTCATCCGCTTCGTCCGGATAGCCGATAGGTACACACGCCAAACTCTAATTTTCCGTCTACGAGAATCTCAGCGGAACCTCCATAAGTCGAAGTGCAAAAGAAAATATGGAATCTTCTTTGGCTTGTCGAGGTTGACTTACTAAGGATTTCAAGTTTTCAAGGTTTTATGAAATAAATTTGACTTAGAAAGTACCTACTTTTAACATAAGTACATATAATATAATATGCATTTATTTATTATTCAAATTTAGAGTGTACCTACCTACCTATATTATTATTAAGTACGCATTTAAAAATTGTTTTTATTAAAATATGATGTAGGTATAGAATTTACACAATAAATATATACATTATATTGTGTATGTAACATTAATTATTAATTTATCACAAGCAATTATTTATAATTTTACTTTGGCGAGGTTCATGTCTATGCCATGTCCATGTCATTATCAATATAATTTCTATGGATTTTTTAGGGCAAACAACACTTTATTGCATTGTAAAGTTTCTTAATTATGTGAGTTCAGCTTTTGCTCGTTTCACCAAAACGTGGAGTGCAGGCTCAAAATGTTCTTCGTCTACGTCGTCTGTAGTCTCTGCAGTGCCAGGAATAAAATCAAGGTTTTTGAAAGGGAATGCCAGTTATTTTGACTTTTCAAGTTTTCACATAATCAAGGCTTCATATTTATACAATATACTCTCACTTGATATAATTATACTCATGTGATACCCGAGTCCATTATTTTGCACATCGATCTACTGTGACTATTGTGAGACGCTGAACTCAACATAGTATAGTTAAGTCCATACATTTTTGATGGCCCCTGAAAACTTCACGAGTTTCTTAAACGACCCTTAAAAATATTATTTGGTCACTTCTGGTCTTCATCGTACACAAAGTGGAGGTGAACTTCGTACAATAACGGGAGCTTCAGTAGCTATTCCACGACGACTCGAGTACCGTATTCTGCAGAAGAATTGCAAATCAAATATTTGAAATACACTCGAAAGATGACGTATATTAGAGGCAAATACGTGTAGTAAAAATAGATGAGCACCCTATATATACGAATGGCAGGTTGTCCGATCGTTGCCCTGAATACGCGGTTCGTGACGGAGATATCATGTGGTAATATACATATTATGGTATATGGTTAAACGTCTGCAACAGCTGCAGTTGCTGTCGTGCTCGCTATGGATAGCACGGCCGTTTTGTGCGCAATGTAATACATATTTTTAAAAAGAAGATCATTATTGGTGTAGAAAAAAATATAATAATAAAAAACAGCAAACCAGTCGCGTATACGTCTCTGCTCTATACGCTTTCTACTACTCACTCGTGATGTATATATACGCGATATATACCCATTACGCTGCACAGTATATTATACCTGGTATACCAACAAATGCACTTATATATTATATATATATATAAATAATATTCGGATGCCTGTGGAAAGTAGGTGAAAGAAGAGACGCGTATCCGAGCCGTATACCTACCTACTATACAGTATACGTATTATGTTCGTTATCGGTGGGGAAACTACCAAGACTGCGGTGGGAGTGCCGCCGCCGCCGCGTACCGGTCCCGGACGAAGGCCGAGGGCATTACCGCGGTCGCGAGCGTGGGTTTCTGCTCTCCAGCGGTTTAAACCGCAACCAGTGTCCGAACCGACGCTGTCAGGCGCGCGCCACTCGAGACACGACCCGCAACGCACACGAACCAGTGGTGTATTTCGAAAAAAAATTTAATATTGATAACGTTGTCTTACGCGGTCGTTTTAGGAAATTCGATTCGTGATAATTCGCAGTCGAAAATCAAGTTATAATACTCACGTCATCGTCGCCGCGATAAATACAATATATTATTATTATTATGATATCGTAACATATAATATATCGTCAATCGATTCCGCCGACGCCGCCGTTAGTGTCGTGTTTTCGCGTATATAATATTATATAAAGTTCGTTGTGTCGTCGTTTTCGTAAAATAATATTATAATATTATTATAGTAATATATTATAGCCCGATCGCCGTGATCGCGCCATGGGACGAGTTTCGGCAGTAAACACCGTACTCATCTGTTGCAGGTAAATACGATCGCGGGCGTTAAAGTTTCCCGGATATTATAATATTATATGTTGTGGGGAGTAGATATTAATATTCAAGTACGACGGAGTGTAGAACCCGAGTTTTTCGGCCTGCTATTATGGCGTTTCTGAAGTGACGATTGTTGGTTGCAGTCGAGATTGCGTAATTCGCATCCGCAAAACAGGATAAAATTTAATGCAATACATGAAATCGTATACATATATACGGCTATATACGTATCTTGACAGAATATAATGCAGTATAACACGTACGTGTGTGACTAAACGCGTGTGGGGGTTCATCCGGATATATAATAATAATAATAATAATAATAATAATAACGTATAGCGAGCCGGCGGGCCGGGAGAAAGTGTCGCTTTCACTGCGACCTTCGGCAGCCCTTAAGCTCTAAGCGAGACCGAAAAGCGCGAACGTTAACCCATGAACGAATATTTTCGTTTATAATAACTTAGGGTCGTCTCAGACGACACGGCGTCATTACCCTCCAAGTGATCCGGTTTCGTTGAATAATTACTACTAGTGATTTTTGGCACTCAAAAAGGGGGGAACCCTTGACTGGACAAAACGTCAACAACCCCAACTGTTTGGCTTTAAGCCACGACTATCGTTCTACACTACGTGGATATCTATGTCGGGATCGTGTGCAGCTTTCAAAGCTCTGTTCTGCTCAGTCATCGCCATTCCGAAAAGGGACAATATTTGGCGTTCACTCTTACGCTAAACCCATATTATCGATCGTGTGTGGGTGCAACAAGCGTATATAAATACTCTTATGAATACTCTCATAAACTTATAGAATCGGATACGAGGCCATAAATAGTGCTACGACAGATGTAGACAGTGTGTCGCGCGGAAAACACTTTCGACCCGCACTTTCGTTTTTGCTCTCGCGAAAACTAGTTAAGACCGTATCGTGATTAAATCGCATACGGGGGTCGTACAAAGAGTAGATAGATATTATGATATGTTCAATATTATATAGCTCGTACTTCGCATTATTAATTACAAGAAAGGTCGGGATGTGCGGGGGATAACTATTCACAGTCGTCTTATGTTGTACCTATATAATATTATACAAATACGCGTATATACACCTGCACAACCTACTCGTTATTATAATGCACATATTATAATAGCATCCATAAGAAGCGTGTAATGTATCCACATCGTTAGAGTACCTACGGCCACCTATAAACATAAATGCAGTACTTTTATGTGAAGGTCGTAAATTTCTAACATTTTACGTGTTTTTCTTTCTAGAAATCGGTGCATTTGAACGAGTCGACGAACATCGAATAGTGTGACGAACATGGACATTGCCGTGTTGAAAAAATTGACCAGATCCGGTTTTATATTACTTCATATTACCGTGTTGCTGATCGGTAAGTCACATATCAACTATAATATTGTCATTATATATTAGGTACTCTTTGCTATTTAAGTTTTTTTCTTTTATCGCCAACTTCGTGTCAATAATATTATTATGTTATGATTATATCGACGAGGCAACAAAATAAATATCGTCCTCACTAAATGCGATTACGATAACCATCGTGAACTTGCATCATAATAGTACAGTTCTATCGTTAACTCTTACGTACAATTTGTAATAGATTATAATATCATACTCTGTACTATTATAATACCTTCGATTCGTCAATTAGCGCCTTCGTTAGACGTCGTCGCGTGTATTTACAAATCGATCGATCCTCAAGGGATTACACTTATTGCCATTTGTACTGATTTATTTCGAACTGCTATTAAACGCCTACACCGTACACACATTATGATATTTTAAGTTACGAATAACGCCGTTGGCCATTGCCACCTGTAGCCATCGCCTGCGATATAAGTCGCCGTTTTAAATACAATATTATTACTATAACTAATATTAATGTTCTCGTGCGATTCGTATGTGCTCCGACGGCCGTGGAAGAAAGTCGTCTGGCAAAATAATCCAATATAGTGCTATAATAGTCTCATTTTATTCACACACACACGACTGAACTTATAACGTCGAAAAAGTATATAATATATGCGCGCTCGCGCGTGCGCGGAATGACGTGTCTATTGATATTATAATATCATATATAAGTACTAAATTTTACGGCACGCACCTTGTTTTGCCATAGAAACTTAACCCGTGCAATGCAAAACAAACAAAGTGACACCGGCACGTCCGTCGCTCATATATATTGTGGCAACCGGTCCCCTCACCATCTCCAGGACATATCTTTAGAGTCCACATTATAGTGGTTTACCTAAATAATATTATACATTGTGTACAATAGCTGATATATGCCATATTATACGTACGCTATATTACTATAATCTAGGTATATCATGTTTTTTTATACGTTCAGAAACGTTATTATTTTTTTGTCCCACACAATGCAATTGCAACGCGTGGTATATCGAAACTTATCGTGTTATTATCTCTATCTCGAGCGTTATCTGCGAGTTTCGTTTTACTGCAATCTGTACTGGGAAAACATTGTTTTCACACCTCTCTACGCGATTACACTTGAATATTGTTTTAAGAAACATATTAAACACTTGCAATATATATTGTTATCGCCGGTGTCACAACCCGCTACGAGTCGAAGCCCACGAGCGCTTCAAGAAAGCCCTCCACGCTGGGCGTTTTGAAAAACCATGAATTACGAATCTCGGAACAATGCAATAATTAATTAAAAAAACTTAACGAATGGGCGTATTTTTACATTCGCCGTCAATGTCTGAATTCTAATAACAATGATGACGGACGTTTTTTCACTAAACAATATAAAAATTTAGAAAATAAATAATCTACTTTCAATGACATAATTCGATATTGTTTACAAATTATTATGATTTTACACACTGCATAATATAATAACTTTTCACAACTCATATTGTTCGGTTTACACGGGTTGAAACGGTTATTGGTTACATAGTAGGTAGGTAGGTACAATATATGTTTGAAACTTGAGAGTTTAAAAATAAAGTGATAGTTACACGATAAATTTAAAATGTGTTGTTTCAACACATATTATACAAATCTAAAAACCGAGAGAATACGTAACACCAAATCAATTTAATAGTAAATACAACTTAATACGTACACATAATATATAATATTATATTATAAGGTTCCATTCACATATTATTAATTATTAATATTTTCTATTTATTCCGTTTTTACTTTGTTTTACATTGTAATCATTTGCAACATCTACCAAATAAGTTTCCAAGGTGCAAAAATATAGCTTCTGTGAACCGGGATTTAATAATACGACCTCTGAAGAAGGCTATATGCCTCGTTTAAATTCAAGACGGACGTATCTAGATAATTATTATTATTTGGGTGTTATTCAAATCTCTCTCAGAAAAAAAAAGTCATTCTATTAAGTTGAAATATTTTGAAGATAGATAATATCTGATGTTAACATTAAAGTCAAGTCAAGTCAAATTATAAGTCATATAATACAATACATTAAAACCCATTTCGAAATAATATATTATAATTGACCAAATTACTATCACGACGATATTGTACGTCCTGTAGTGTATGATATAATAATATACTATACAAGCACGGTAGAGAAAACTGGAATAATATTTTAAAATTCAGTCGGAAGTTTTGATTAAATTTAATGATTAGAATACAATATAATATTTTATGCGGATATCCTTCCTAACACAGCGACTACGACGACATGTACAACACTAAATAGGTATAAGTAAATGATTTATATTCACAGCTGTGATCGGAAATCCACGGGCATAATGCACAGGACGACGTTATACAACATTTACGTGTGTATATCTATACTACCTGTTGTACACGAATGGGGTACTTAAACGAAAATAAAACGACCACCACTTTGCAGGGGTCGGCTAGTCGAATCGATCACCACAGTATAATAACATAATATTCATCGTAATCATTGTAGTCGTCGTCGTCGTCGTACAATATACGCCTGTGTAGTACTATTATAACATTCTAGTAATAGCTTCTTCTGTTACACCGGGGCGTATTATGGTAGTCCGGTGCGCACACGATAATATCATAATATAATAATCATGTCCCCGGGCCGAACGTGCGCGTAAATGGTAATAATGATAATATGTATAATGTAACTGAAATCGCGGAGAAAAATATAATATCGTGTTATATAGCTGCTCGAAAAACTGGTTCAAGGTCCGGTGCATCGTTCCGTCGCCCATTCTCCCGCATATATTAGAAAATCGTACGCATACTGCAGACGGCCATTCATAATAATGATAAATTATAATAATTACATTGTATTAGGCACGGGCGCCGGCGAAAAAGCCACGACAGTGGTCACGATTATAGTCGTCGGATGAATGAGGAGAAAAACAAAAAGGAGACGTTTTTATCATCGCGACGAGCTGTGTCGTCGGTTACACGCGAAACATAGTAATGGGTACTATTCTCTAGGCAGTTGTGGTCCACATGGAGATGGAATAGAGAGGTGTCATAGGTACCTCCGAATCGGAACGTTTTTGTGTTTCTCACAGAGTTCGAAAATTATTCAGCAGTCGTCGGAAAATACATTTTAATGCCAAGAGTACACAGACACGACCGTTTGAAAACGATAAAAAATAATAATATAATATCATTCTTTTCGATCTTTACCGATGAATCGCTCGACGACAATGGACGAGATCGTAATTTTTTCATTGCATGATGATGGCGTGTTTTCTAATTCTCACCGGAATGGAATAGTTTTAATTACCGTCGTCTGGTAAACGCCCTTATTAAAATTCGAAGAACCTACATATTATTTTTTTTTTATTACTTTTCGTTGTTCGTAAGTAGGTAATGCGAGAACAATAACAATAAATGTATATTAACAATAATAATATATACAAGACTATAATATATAATGACGCGAGGACATTCGAATTAGGTATGGCGTGTAAATGATAACTATTTGCTGACATTGACTTTCGTTGAATAGAGTAAAAAAAAAAAAAAAAAATACATAAACGGTTTCAGAATCATAACGTTTTTCCGGGTATAATTTCGTCGACTATAATAATTTATATCACCGATTTATGACTACCTACGACATATTCAATGCGAAAAACCAAAAGTACGTAACGTGATATTATTATTATCATTACTATTATGCGGACAATCTGCGAAAAAGAAAATAACATAATGATATCGAATAACGATGTTATCATCGAATAATAAATTGACATAGGTACATGATATTATTATTATTATTATTATTATTATATTATAATAGGTACCTACGTTTAGTTCATAACCGAATGTGTGTAATATGTACCTCGCATACCTACTTATCTATAATAATATGATATTATTATAATAATCTAAACAACATTATGATCAAATTACTCCAATTTATAGTTTTTGTTATAAAAAAAAACGTATTATGTACATTGTACTTATAATCGTGTGTATTGTTATAAGCATTAGACGACAAAAATGAGATATTTCTATAATAAAATTTGAGCAAAACGCGTGTTTTCAGTACTGCATGTGGCCGTCGACATGGTTATTAGGTATTTATTTATATCAACATTACCACACACGTATACCACCTGTTACGACGGATACAGACTAATAAAATACCAATGTTATCATTCGTGGATTATAACCGCATAATAATAATATGTCAATTGAAATAATTAAGGACACGGTTGCAATATATATTGTCGGCAGAATTTATTGTTTTCAAAGGATTTCCGCAGTCGGCTTTGCTGTGGCAAAAAAGGCAGAAAATATTTTTGCCAAAAACGGAACGTTATTAATTTCAAACGCCTGCACGTTCTCATCCAATATAATATGATATCGCTGAACTTTGATTTCATCCCGATTTCTTTTTTAAATACCTGGAGATCTATACCGGAAGACACTTCGCAGAACGACAACCATGGATCCATTGAGTGAAATTAGAAAAAAAAAACCTAAAGAAATCGTAATAAAGCCGACTAACGTTGTTTTCAGACGACAGCCAAGTACAATATGTTTAACGTGCGAAGACGGAGTGACTGCATCACACGCCGCCGTAGACCGTTTTGGACGTTGCATGAACTCTTGGCCCGATTTTGAGTCTAGTCAAAGCCACCATTTATGTTCCGGTAACCGGGTCTTCCTTAAGTCGTGATGTCGTTACTCGTATATTTAGTAATTATCGCTATTATTGCAGTGACCCGGTCGTGCTGTGACCCCGTCCGACTGTTTCAGCAGTATCATCGTGGATTTCGGACTTGGCAGCAATATAATAATATCATAGGCTAGGATACAGCCAGAATATATCATGCCGAACTCCGGTTCGGTGCTTAATGATCTCTTGTATCTCCGCATATTTTTGATTTTATTGGAGGCATAAAAAATGTTGAT